ACAGGGGTGGTGGTCCCTCTCTACAAGGAATCGGAGTGTATGTTCAAATTGTCGTGGGATCACACTCCTCAGCCTCCCCGGTAAGGTCTACTCCAAGGTACTGGAGAGGATACTTCTATCAATGAATCTCGGATTCAGGAGGTGCAGTGTGGTTTTCGTCCCAGCTGTGGAATACTGGGCCAGCTCTATACTCTCCATCGGATACTCGAGGGATCATGGGAGTTCGCCCAACCTGTCCACATGTGTTTGTGGATTTGGTGAAGATGTTCAATAGTGTTTCCTTTGGGGGGGTTCTCCGGGAATACAGGGGTTCGGGTCCTCTGCTGAGGGCCGTCCGGTCCTGTATGACCGGAGCCAGAGCTGTGTTTGCATCGCCGGCAGTAAGTCAGACCTGTTCCCGGTGCATGTTGGCCTCCACCAAGGCCCTTTTTCACTGGTTCTGTTCACTGTCTTTATGGACAGAAGTTCTAGGCGCAATCCTGTGTTTCGGGGACCACAGCATTTCATCTCTGCTGTTTGCGGATGATGTTGTCCTGTTGGCTCCAACGAACCAGGAAATGCACTGGGACAGTTTTCAGCCGAGTGTGAAGCGGCGAGGATGAGAATCAGCACCTCCAAATCTGAGGCCATGGTGCTCAACTGGAAATAGGTGTCTTGCCCCTCTCAAGGCGTTGCACCACAAGTAACAACTGAGAAGAGGCAACCACACACAACCATTGTGTGGAAGCGCGCCGTGGAGTAAACGGAGCACTGAGAACTGAATGAATGAGAATGAAAGAATGAAAAGTATGGAGTACAAGCAGAGTGACCGTGAGCCAGGCAGGATACAAGTGAATGTTGGTGTGTTTTAGCGACAAAATAAAGTCTGACTCTTGAGTAACAGTTTGAAGTGTTATCGGAGTAGCACCAAACTGACAGCGAGGGTAAAGACGTGTGCGAAAATGTACTTCACAGCGGGCGAAGCAGGAAGACATATGTAATACCCAATATCACGCCCCCACCACCGTGCCCCACCATTGTGCCTGTAATTGGAATGTTATTTAAGTTAATTGACAATTTCGAAGTTTTCACTGTTTTTATGGAATGTTTGTTAACAGCTCATCTATTGCATCAGATTATTGTATCTATAAATATATATTTATTATACTTTTAAAATATGTAGGTATTTTACCAAATATTTTTTCTGAACAAAATTAGCACATGCTTAAATAAAAAACTAATTAAAAAGACTTTTGGATTGTTTGGTTGTTTCTTCTAGAAAATCTGTTTTTAAAATTATGTATAAACATATCTATCTTTGAGCTTAATGTTGCTGTGTCCTGCCCCTTTCAAATAAACATGCAATGGTAGCCAATATAAACGTGTCCCAATGTAAAACGTGTAAAAATACTGTCAATCATTATTTAATTGACTGCCAGACCTTTTTGATGACTTCACCGATTATCAAGACTCACAGAATATTGTGTGCTATGAGTATTACAAAAATGAAACCAGAGTCTGAAAGACTGGACTGTCTACTTTCAGCTGCAAAATAAAGTTGTGTTCTTCTGTAATCTCCAGTCGAAAAGAGGGGAGTGTGACAAAAATCACCAGTCTTAGACAAAAAGCTTAGAAAATGAACTGTTTGTGAAAACAGATGAACGATCTTACATGTTAGAAAACAGCAACAACAAGTGTTTTTGATGCAAACTAATACGTTTAATGGCACACACACCCACCTCCACAAAGTGTTGCTCGAATATTTTTAAAAAACGTCATAATGTACATATTGAAAGTAGAGCCCATGACAAACTATGCCAGAAAGAGTGGCCAGTATTCATCCATTAGGTGGCGCTATATTTATGTCAATAATAGTAGATCACAGAATAACAAACATTCTGTGATCACCTGTCAATCAGAGGAATGGTCTCTCTGAGGATGTTTGTGCTCAATCTAATTCAATCTGGTAATTTTTTTGTCTAGGGCCTCATTCAATCAAGAATAAAAATTACCATTTTGGTCATGTGGGATCAAAATGGTAATCTCTTTTTTCTTTAAATCCACATTATAGTGTCACAAAATCTGCTCGATTTTCTCCTGCTCTAGCGCCGCTCTGATCACCAGCGCCTGATTGGTCAAGACCTGATTGGCCCTGATTGGTCTTGACCAATCAGGGCCAATCAGGTCATACATGTTGTAGAATGTCAGAGAGTCCTGGATAATCACCACAGTCCTTCTTGTTTGACCACTAACAGTCCCTCCTTTCAACATTTTTTTTGGTTTAACAGATTTTGAATGTGATTTAAACGTTAGATTGTTGTTTTCATACTAACATACATATTATGTTGCACTTTTACAATATTTTTCTATTATTTTTACAGTCGTTTTTACGGTGTTTATTTGATAGCTGCTATTATTATGTTATTTCTGAATTAAAGGTCATAAAGGTGAAATTGGAATATAACTCATATATTTCTATAACTTAAAATTTGAAACTATTATATGATACAGAACTTGACATACCAAGTGACATATGCCAAGCATTTTCTTGTTATGGTCTTGATGATTATAGTCATTACAGTCTGTGAGCCAATTATCAATATTATAACAAACAAAGGATTGATATTTCTCACTTTGTGTGTTATGAGTCTGTCATATATTAGTTTCAAATTGTATGTTGACCAGAAGTAAATGGATTTTCTGATTTTTTTTCTGTCTACTAGATCTACAATTTATTTTTTTATGGATAAAAATATCCTGTCTTTATGCTGAGGGGGAGTGGGTGTGTGGGATGGAGAGCTATCCGTCAGCCTGGCATGTGTTTAGGGCGGGATTTGGTTGTTCGGATCGTGACCTCTGCACAGCGACAGGCTCCCTCCCACTGCAAGCATGCGCTCTCAAACCCACAAACCCAGGCCTGTTTTTCCACCACACATGGATTCAATTGGAGGCGCCTATTTCTGCTGCTGTTTCTACTGCTGCTCTGTCTGCAGCTTTGAGAATCATACAGGATACAAATACACAGGAAGGCACACACAACGCCTTGGCTTTGGAAATGGATGATAAAGTAACTTCTAAAGTCACTCATTATTATCATCATTATGATTAAATTGCATAAAACATATACTTAATTATTTAATTTTTTTAATGAATATGTGTATATGTGTCAAATGGGATTGTGCAATAGCTATGTTTTGAACGGTACAGACTTTTGTTACTGACATTTTATGGATTTTAATGTAACAAATAAAATGTATACAATACAAGTACTGAACTTCTTTTGCTTTTAGTCTGTTTTCATGACATTAACATCAACCTGCTGCAAATTTACTGTTCTGTAACAATGTATAAAATTGTATAAGTGACTGAAATATACCTCAAACTTCAAAGCTTCTGAAAATAGTGGTTGGATTTTGCTAACCTGGTACAAGGCATATTTCCTTTGATGCTCAATGTAACACTTTCCGTGTTCAAATAAAGACACACCAAACCAGTGCCTGAGGGAAGTTTTGACTTCCACAATAATATTTGTACTTCATAATATTTCCAGAAAAATGGGAAGCACATTGTTTGTCTGTAATCTGGACGTTATCTGTGATGTGGCAACACTGCATGACTTGTTTTTCTAATACCATTCAGCTCTGGTGTGTGTAATACTATGTGCGAACAACCCTGCATTTAGAGGGCTCAGAGCCGCACCAACAAGCCGGGCTGTTTACCGCTTGGCTGGTCGTAAAAAGTAAATATGCATCAGTGGCAGCTTATCAAAGACTCCTTCATTTGGTTCATGGCTTCGATGGCTTGGATCTGCGTAGACAGACATTCTCTGTGGTGTGCGTGGGAAGGCCATACTGTCCCTTGCACTTAGACGTTTTGCAGTTGATCTGAGGGTGAGTGGAGTGACGCTGAGTGGGCAGAGATGTACAGGTGCAACTCTGAGAATGGGAGCAGAGTCAGCGCACAGGCATGCACTCATCCAGACATGTGCTCACAGTCTATCAGTGACAAGAGCCGAACCCAAATAACAAACATCTGCACATTGTTCCATGGACTACGCCCCTGTCAGCCTCTACTGCATCAACAGGGACCGATGTCTTTATAAGAGAAATATTCAGCTACAAGGAAAAGATTTAGGGCTAGAGCTGTGTTTGATACTTTGCAGAAATATACATAAAATGAATGCCATCTGACTTGATTTGTTAGCAGCAGATTACAACTAGTATGCAATGGGTGAAGCCATATTGAATGGTATTTGGAGACAATCTGCATATATTCCTCAACTTTTTCAATTTTATTTCTATTTTCTTACCGCCCATTTGTTTTGTTGTTTTGTTTGTTAACCTTTTAATGTGAATTTAAATTTCTGAAAAGTCCACAAAAAGTACCAAATGTAATAGCAAACTAAACTCTTTCATCCGAGCAAAACAAATGATAACCTATTGAAATAGCCTAATATCATAAATAAAATGGAAAATGGAAGAACAAATACCACAACAGCTATTAGTGTCTGCAAAAGTCATTTGCAGTCAAACATGCTGCTCCTTGCATTAACTTTGCTCCACAGTAAATAGGAACAATGCACTTAATGAGCAGATGCTGAAAAACCTTGGAGAAAGATCAAATATTTCAACAATTTGGCCAATAATGTAGCGTGAACTTGACTTGTTTATCAACTGTGTTCCAAGCCTTGTTGAGATTATGTCTGAAAAAGCCCCGCAGTCATGAGTTTGTGAGTAAAAGTGCTGCTCCAGCAGCCACAAGCCATGCAGGTGTGTGGGAAACATGCTGAGTAAAACATTCAACTTTTAAGAACATTCTGTAGATTGTGAAATGCTCTCTAAAGGGGCCCCAGATGAGGTTTAACATGGTAAAAATTATATTCCAAAAGGGAATAGTAATGAAAATCAAATTACAAATTAAGGATTGCACTCACCACGCATGGCTCTGGTTAGTGTCCTGGCACATGTGAGTCAGAGTTGATCTGAGGACTTCACCCCTCTGAACTCACTGCAGGGTCACCGTCACATCAGCAGGACCCAGCTCCTGCTTGATCCCCAGTCCAGGTCCAGCAGTTCTAAGGAGCCCATGAAAGTCAGAGCATGGCTGCTTCCTGCTGTTTCTCCAGTGCACTCTCTCTCCTCGTCGCTCCTGAAAACCTGATAAATGACAGACGCACACAGTCACACACTCTCCACAGTGGAAACACACACTTTGAACAGTTGTCCCATGAGCTCCTCTGTCCATAAAGTCTGGAGGCAGGTCTGCCCCTCCCTCTGTCTCTCTCCCTCTCCTCTTTCATTCCCTCCCGACTTTTACAGCCTCCGCTGAGACACTCTTATTGTGGCAATTGCATTAGCCTTTAGCCAGCCGCGGAATAGCTCTTAGAGCCTAATGCAATGTTGTCTCTGCCTTAGACTCTCTCTCTCCTTATCTCTCTCCTGCTGTCTGCGTCCCCCAATGTCTGTCACTTTGACATGGGCACATACACCCCTCGAGTCCATCCACAGCTTTTATTCTGCCTCACAGTTTTCCCTTAAAGGGACACTGTCTCCATTTGCTCTTGATGGATCTGCTGGGCAACCCTCAAGGAGTCCAAGTCTGCACCCAGGTGCTGGATCAGGTTTCAAGCTAAAAGCCATTGATTGTGTTTCTCTTGTGCTTGCCGTTTGATTCTCTATAATGTTTACCTGCCTTTTACTGAACTAATGCTCTTCTCTGCCTCTGTAGAATATGCTGTATATCAAATCAATGCCATAACAATGGGCTGAAAGTGTTCAGCCACTTTAGGTCAATAACAGGTACCCAGTTAGCTTGTTTGCAACAGTGCTGACTGTTTGCTTTGCATTCTGTGTGTTTTAGAAAAGCTGTCCAAGCTTTGCCAGCCACACATTCTGAGACCAGTGTGTAAAGGTGAACCCGCTTTTCAGAAAAAGGGGAGACATTTGGGTGACATTTATGTGTGGAACAACGTGCACCAGGGGTTTAGAAGGCTAAAATGCCCATTGTGCCCCACAACATGCTGAGTGACACTCGCTGCTGCTTCACAAATGAAAGTGCTCATATTTCAGTTCACATTTTAACACTGAAATAGTGTGATTGTTCTTAAGACAGTGGGTTCCCTGCAAACAACAATAGTTTCCCAACAGCAGATGTGGTTTAGTTTTAGACAATGATAAGTCTGTATGTCTGTCAGCATCAGTGCTTATAACCTGACAGAGTGACGGGACACCCGGACGAGACCTCAAAGCAGCTTTTTGTCTTGAGCACAACACTCCTCAAATTATTGCACTAAAGGTCAGTGTGCACAGACCAGCGTATCTTTGCTAAATAAGCAGTATAAAAATAACGCTGAGCTGGTGTATAAAACTGAATTAACAGAGTTATAACGGGTACAAGTAAGCTTGCCTTGACCCCAGGTAAAAATGTAAAAGGATTAGAGGCCAGCAGCTATAGGATTGGACAATATATTTGTAAGTATTACACATCAAAACCTAACCCTTATTAATTACACTGTGGTTGTGTCTTTGGAGAATTGCAGCCGGTGCAATGTTCTCAGAGCCGTTTGTCCGTCTCATAACTCACGGTTATTATATCAGCTCGATTTATCATTTGAGTGCACAGGAGCCTCAGTGTTCTGCAAGGCTAGTTTCACCAGGGGACACTTTAGTTTGGAAGGACAACTAGAAATACTGACTATATACAGGCTAAAGTGCAACAGAATAACCTCCTATTAACTAAATATAACTAGTGTATGGTCAAAAAACCAGCCAAAGGCAATGGGAATATGTAGACATCATGACAAGAATAATGACAACATAATTTGGTGACGTCAAATGAAAGCCAATGCGGTGGCATTATCATATTGTCATTATTACTCAACTCCAGATCCAGAGAGTTTGCTTATATATATATATATATATATATATATATATATATCGGCTCTGGGCATACTTGTTTGTTTGAACTGGTCTGTGTTCAAACTTTCCCCCAAAGTGAGCCAAGGTAAAGTTCAGATGCATGGAAACGGACGGCTGTTTTTGAGATTTTATGTACACCAGCAGCTCAATGCTGGACTTTTCTTAAAATGATTTTGCAGTGCATGTATCACAAGATAAAAGGAAAAATGGAAAAAAAACCACTCCCATTAAAATTGGGAGAGGTACATTTATTATTTGTGTTTATCTTATTTATGTGGCACACCTTTTGCAAATAGCATATAGTTGTGGGATCTGTATTTAATTCATACAATTACATAAAATCACTAATGTACTAAAACCAGAGCCCAAACGGACCTTATGCAGATGAGGCCCGCCTTCGGCATGTGGCAATCCCAAATACTCCAGCCCACATCCTTCATCCAGACCAAACCAGAATCTCGCCTCTTCACTTGACCTACCAGAGAAATTAGAATTGTTTGCAGTTTCTCTCTGGCAACATATTCATATTTCTTTTTTTGTGAACAAATATTATTCATAGCATTACAGAAGCTTCTTGGGCAAGTGGCATAGGATTACCAGAAAGAGAAAGTATGAGAATCATAGGGAATGGCATTGCAAAATATTGTTAAAACTATTTTCCAATGTTTTTTGTTCGACACCTTTCACAAAAAAAGTTCAAGCTTAAATATTTTCAATAACTGATTGAGTTCTATGGGTTAATGAGGTTTAGGCACCAGTGAAACCTACAGTTTGGGTCTTGGATATTCACAAGGTCACACAATCCAAACATCCAGAAAGAACCACTTTTCAGTGACCATCAGGACTTCAGGAAAAACGTTGCCTTTGCGTTTGCTTTCCATTTATCATTGTAACCCATGGACAGTTCAGGGTGAAGTAATCACCGCTCTGCCCTCTGAGAGGAAGACTTCTCTGAGGCCGCTGGTACCATTCGGTCCCCCAAAGAGTCCAGACCCAGTCCAGACTGCCTGGCTCTCACTGAGCTGCTGCTGATGGATGATCGGAGAGCGATGATGAATCGACTCCTGTCAAGGCTTCTCCATGTCCACATCTGGGACCACATTCTCCACAGTGTACTTCCTAATGTTCCATCTCTGAAAATCATGAATACACCATCATGAAAATGTTTGAATATATCATTAGTATGGGCATTAGAATATAGATATGTATTAAGAAACGATAATATAGAATTGAAATCATTAAGATATAACGAATTCTACACATCTTGCAGCCATAATACAGCCCTCACAAACAGTCCTGTTGTGCAAAACAAGGAGACAGATTGCACTAAAGACACGTGAAACTACTCATATGAAACTCAGAAAATTTTTAATTTATTTCTTTGATTCATCTTTTGTGAAACTCATTATATACAAGAGACATATGACAAGCCTGTTTTTTAAGCTGTGAGCCAATTATCAACATTATAACGAAGCATTGAACAATATTCAATTTTTTTCTTTGCAGCAGCAAGACATTTCATCCACATTGTCTATATGAGTCTTGTGTGGGTGTGTATGATTAGTAGGGATAGGAGGGGCTGGTTGCCTTGCTTCTGTCAGTTTGTTCCAGGGCAGCTGTGGCTACAGTAGTACTTTATCACCACCGTTGCAGTATGAATGAATAACGCCGTGTAAATCATCTTTGATTGTCCAAAAAAGCGCTATATAAAACCGATGCATCATTATTATTAGTTTGATTATTAGAGTATATTATGCTCTATCTACTTACATGTATGAAAGTTATTTTAGTTGCCATGTAGAAGGAATATATATTTATAAAACCAAATGTCATCTAATCTTTTGTTCCCACGTTGCATGAACTGGTTATGGCTCACCACTTTCCTCATTTGTTTCATCACTCTTTCTTAATTTCCTGTTTTCTGTGGATAGGTCTGGTACTGAGCCCATGTGTTATCTGTGCTCACTGCTCCGTGATGTGACAACTTTAGAGTTTTCAGAACCAAACTCCATTGTCCCCACCACAGCCATAAAGTGTATGTAAAATACAACATTTGTTTGGAAAGATGTGGTAGACACGTGCAAGGAGGTATAATGGGTAGTTAGTTTTTCCAAAGATCTTCTGCACGAATCCAAACAAGAGCTGAAGAACATTTTTGGTCCTCCACTTAGTTGAGATTTCATCAGTTCAATCAAGCTGGCTTTAGTGTCTCTTTCACGCATCTGGCAAAAAGTATGTAGGCCTACTGACAACAAACAACGTCGCCACATTAAAGGCTGCTCCATCCATACAGACACGGACAATTGCAAAACAGATGTGTCCAAATCTCCTTTACGGTCTTCCCTTGATTGGATCTATCCCACAGATCAGGTTTAGTGGTCAGTCTTGAATCCCAGCTTTGAAAATTAACATGATGGATAAAACTAACATGGAATTAGTGGGTACAGTAATCATACAGCTCAGGATGTTTCACTCATGGGGAAATTCTATAATGTGCTTCCAAGTTAGTCAACGTAACTTTACGATCATTTTTCACAGAAAAGGGAGAATCCAACTATACAAGTTAAACGCCATCTGCAAATTTATGCAAAACTTGCCATGAATATGAATTGGAGAATCAGGATGAACACCAGCAGGAACATCACAAAGAGAGAGTGAAAAGCAGATTATGCTTATTAACTTATTTACATATATGTTGAATAATATCTATACATTGATATCTTGTGAGGTGGCTGCTCGTGGCGCTGTTGGAGCCTGCTGTGTTCTGGTCTGAATGGCTGGACCACTGTTGTGGTAATTGTGTGTTGTGTAGGTTAAAGGAGACTAATTATGTAAAATCTACTTTTTTGAGCTTCTAACCATGTTACCAAATTTCCATGCACAGGCACAAACACGTGACCCCTCCCTTTCTAAGCTTCTGTCTCAGTCCTGTAAGAGTTTAGTTACTTAGTTTTACTCTGGTGGTGGCACAGGGATGAGGCAGGTCGATAGCAGTAGTAACCCTGTATACCTCTTTCACCATAGTTTCCACTGAAGATATTTCACATTCTAAAATTTTGAAATAAAAATTGACAGGCAGTCTCATTAACATGTTGTCTTCTTTGTCTTCATGTCTTCTTTAAAACCATGCTGCATATGAACTAATTCTTTAATATTAAATAACATTGTCCTTTATCCTTTTTAAACTATGTACATGGGATGGGAGTCTATGTTTTCTTTATAGTTGTAAATATAATACAATAATACAACACATGAAGGTTAAATACTGCGTATGTGTATGTATATGTACTATGCATTTTGTTTGTGCAGTGAGTGTAAATATTGTAAACTACTCCATCTAATTCTGCTGAAATGTATAAATCTAACAATTGACCGTTTTTATAATACAAGTCACTTATACACTAAACTTAAACATACTAATACCACATTACGCCAAACCTATGTTGACTTTCTCCATGAGAACAGCTTAAACATAAGAGCTAATCAAACTGAAATCCGTCTAATCATTCTGGCTGCAAAGCAAAACAAACAGGGAGAGTGTGAGTGATGTCGAGACTGTGCTCCTGAGTGACCCGGGAAGGGCCAGCCTCTTGACTAATTGGTGTTTAAGCTCAATCACTTCCTACTCCTCTGGGCTGCCTAAAGGCCTCTGTTCTCCACATCAAGCCCACCATCTTAACTCCTCATTTTTTCTCTTCCTGGCACCCCCCACATCACCCCCGTCCCAGTCAGACAGTCTGGTCAGGGGAGAGGCTCAGTGGGAGTTTAATTGCGTTGTATTTCCATGAAACCAACTTCATTACACAGCTCGAGCCCACGCAGAATACTTCAGACCTGCTGCAATTTGTTTTTGTGTTTATTAGGCTGTGAGGCTGCATCCCCACATGGTCCATCCGTCCAGGGGATATAAAGATATAAAGGCACATGCATAACATGGTGATGCAAACATGAAAAGTACGACAGGAGCTTCTGGAAGGCCAATGGGAGGGAAGAGGGAGAGATAACAGGGTTGTAAACATAAATGTAAATGACAATACAACCTATTATACATTTGTTATCTGTGTAAGAAATCCCATGCTATAAAAAAGAGTAAAGGTTGTAATAGGAACAGTAGAGGTAAAGGTTGTAATAGGAACAGTAGGTCCTCAAAATGGCTAGATTATTTCCCGGCATGTGGGAAGTGATTGCTCCACATAAACACACGCCCTTTGTCTTCATTCATGAATTTCTGAAAGTCCCACCCACCAAACGTACAGTTCATACAAAGAAACGTGTTGGTCCATATTTGTAACATGCTTTCACAATATTGGAGTTCACCGACAACATGCCTTAGTGAGGCATAGACCGGTTACAGTCCATTTGAATTTGATTAGACCAGAGGATATCACATTTTTTGAGACCAATGATCATTCTGCTGGTAGTTTAAACAATGTCTCAACTCAAGTTTTCTCATCATAATTACCATTAGATCCTGTAGAACAAACACCAAAAGCTTCCATGAGTCTAAACAATTGTAATTAATGTAACAGAGATTTTGGGTGGACCCCCTCAAAAGTATGGTACCACTTGAATAGGACGTGCGACGAAAACCAAAGGAAAATGTAGATCAACACCTAATGTCAGGCACAATTTTCAATAAAGCAGTGCGGAAAAAGCGTAAGTGAATACGGGGAGACTATAAGGGGAGATGGAAGTTGGGCTATGCTCCGTGGGCAGAGTGAGTGAGCAGCTCTGAAAGTGGACACGAAGGCGGATGACCACATTAACAAAACCTAATGCAATGGCTGGCTCCAACAGGCCTCGTCATCCATTATCTGACTGTTGCACTGTGCAACCAAATATGCACAACGCCTCACTACATTAGTGGTCATACATGTTCCTTTTTCATAGTCTTCTTCACACTGGCCGATCAAAAATAAAAAGTCACGATATGTTAATAATCTGGGGTAATGTTGTCACCTCTGGCCGGTGACCGCAAATCTTTGCAAGTGAGAGAGTTGTTATAGAAGGCTCAGACATTATTGATCTATGAAATATGGCTTCCCCGAAGGCGTCATTCAGCTTAAACCTGCTTTAAAAACTATAACTTTTATAATGATCCTTTTAAAATGTATGTTGTGAGATTATTTATGATCTTTCCTGTATGCTTTTAATGCTTTCTGTTACAAAAAATGGCTTTGCCTTGCCTATTTGGGGATAGAATAGATAGATATTTACACACTTGTGGATAATGTCTTATCCACAAGTGTGTTAAATTTCAGGTTTACAACTCTGATAGAAGACATGGGAACATGACAGCATTCTCCCACAATAGTAAAGATGGGAGTATGCAAGAAGCATGTTCTTTAGAAATGGCTAATTGATTGACTGCGGAACCTTCCGCAGTCAACCATTGGTTTTGTATTTCTTTATTCCGTCATTTTTTTTGACACGTTTCACAGCTTTCACATTTTCAACAATTTCCACAAGTTATACATCAAAACGTTCCACAGTTTGGGAGATTATTGCTATTACTTTTGGGACTTCAGCGATTTCCGGTTTTTCCGCAATCGGACAAAAATCTGCATTGAGAATTCTGCAATGCATTTTAATAGGCCCATGCATTTTAATAGGACTTCAGCTCTTTCAGACATTTCTACAGTTTCAATGATTCAACAGTTTCAAGGATTCAACAGTTTCAAGGATTTCAGCAGTTTCAAGATTTCAAGAGTTTCAAGGACTTCAACAGTTTCAAGGACTTCAGCAGTTTCAAGGACTTCAGCAGTTTCAAGGACTTCAGCAGTTTCAAGGACTTCAGTGTAATCATGCAACCTAATAGGGATTTTTCCATGTAAACCAGTATAATGCAACTTAATAGGGATTTTTCCATGTAAACCAGTATAATGCAACTTAATAGGGTTTTTTCATGTAAACCAGTATAATGCAACTTAATAGGGTTTTTTTTCATGTAAACCAGTATAATGCAACTTAATGGGGATTTTTCCATGTAAACCAGTATAATGCAACTTAATAGGGGTTTTTACATGTAAACCAGTATAATGCAACTTAATAGGGTTTTTTCCATGTAAACCAGTATAATGCAACTTAATAGGGTTTTTTCCATGTAAAACCAGTATAATGCAACTTAATAGGGTTTTTTTCCATGTAAACCAGTACAATGCAACTTAATAGGGATTTTTCCATGTAAACCAGTATAATGCAACTTAATAGGGTTTTTTACATGTAAACCAGTATAATGCAACTTAATGGGGATTTTTCCATGTAAACCAGTATTATGCAACTTAATAGGGATTTTTCCATGTAAACCAGTATAATGCAACTTAATAGGGATTTTTCCTTGTAAACCAGTATAATGCAACTTAATAGGGTTTTTTCCATGTAAACCAGTATAATGCAACTTAATGGGGATTTTTCCATGTAAACCAGTATTATGCAACTTAATAGGGATTTTTCCATGTAAACCAGTATAATGCAACTTAATAGGGTTTTTACATGTAAACCAGTATAATGGAACTTAATAGGGGTTTTTACATGTAAACCAGTATAATGGAACTTAATAGGGGTTTTTACATGTAAACCAGTATAATGCAACTTAATAAGGATTTTTACATGTAAACCACTATAATGTAACCTAATAGGGGTTTTTACATGTAAACCAGTATAAAGCAACTTAATAGGGATTTGTACATGTAAACCAGTATAATGCAACCTAATAGGGATTTTTCCATGTAAACCAGTATAATGCAACTTAATAGAGGATTTTTCCATGTAAACCAGTATAATGCAACTTAATAGGGATTTTTCCATGTAAACCAGTATAATGCAACCTAATAGGGATTTTTCCATGTAAACCAGTATAATGCAACCTAATAGGGATTTTTCCATGTAAACCAGTATAATGCAACCTAATAGGTTGCATTATACCACCAGACCAAGACCCAAACGAAGACTCAGACCACCACCAGATAATGACCACAGACCAGGTTTCCTTAGTTACAGGAACCAAATTGTTTCAGCGGTGAGGGGATTTTTCAGTTTCAAGGACACTTTCAATACATTCAGTAGTTTCAAGGATTTCAACTGTTTAAGAATTTAACCAGTTTCAAGGATATCAGGAGGTTCAAGGATTTCAGGAGTTTCCACACTTTCAACAGTTTCCAGGTTTAAAAAAAGTTTCAAGGATTTCAGGAGTTTCAATGTTTCAACAGTTTCAAGGATTTCAGGAGTTTAAAGGTTTCAACAATTTCAAGGACTTCAGGAGTTTCAAATATCTATCAAGTATTTTAACAGTTTCAAGGCCTTTTAAAGGATTTCAAGGATTTTTTTTAGCAGATTTCCACATTAGATCTGTTCCGCAGTCAATCGCAATGGCTTCAGCCATTGCAAGTTTCTAGTTGTTAAGTTGCTAATCTCCTCTTAAAGCACTTACCCACCCACACTGCTCTCTTTGTATGACCGCAGGCAGTGTTTCTGTGACCGGAGGTCCAAATCGCAAATGCTCAGATTCACATTTATATGTATGTTCTGAGATAAGCAACACACACTGTAGGCTACAACTGACCGTTGATATGCCTCAATTTTAATAGCAAAACCACAAATTTAAACATGCTTTAGTATTCCAACTGTCCTCTCCTTAAATATTCTAGAATTTGCTATAGCGTGGGAATAACATTTCATTGAAATAAAGGTGACAGCAGATTCATCTTATAAGACTGCAAATTTGCTGTGTGTACATCATGTTTTGTTTTATCATTTCCTTGTTTGCCACTGCCTCTCACTATCCTGGGCATACATTACTCAGAGCAGGAAATAATGACGCCAAGGTCCATTAAGTGGGATTGCAGGACATCATCATATCAGCATTAATCTCCCTTTTAGAAGAGGAGTCCCTGGAGAGAGTGTGTAGATTGCAACTAGAATAAGACTCTACTATTGATGGACTTAAGCTTTCTGTTCCATGCAACATGTTGAGGATAGAAACAGTATTTCGTTGACATGTTATTCATCAGGTCAACAGTTTACTGTTGCATTGCTCTAAAACTCATGCATAGAGAACCCTCACTCCAAACATAGTCAGGTTTTTCACATAACAGCACTATTTTTTTTAAATATATAAAATAAGTTTTAGGCAAGAGTGTGGAAGATATGGTGGAAAATATTATATTATTTGATGAATGGCGACACCTAGTGGCATTGGTCATTTATACAGTCAGGGGAATTAGTTGTCCGTGACAGTGCCAAATTAACCTTTTAAAACCGATCTTTTTAAAACTACTGAAACAGTACGTAAAAAAAAAACAACTTGAGGCTTTGACTTTCTAGCATTCGTGCATGTGTATGAAGTAAAAACCTTAAAAAACATTTTGTAAAATTACATGGGTAGCCCTGGCTTTTGCCTGAGTAATAATTCCTTTGAAGGGTCTAGTGGCTGAGCTAACCTGAGCTCTCCTGAACTGAGAGAGACTCGTATTTCATCCTAACCCTGGGCCACATTCAGTCGTCACAATGTTTGAAGAAGCCAGTGAAGTGTTCGATAACATGTTCAAGTCCTCCTTCCCCCTCACCTTCATCGTGTTCATCCCCGCGGTGCTGATCCTGGTGTCCCCGCTCCAGGCCGAGGCAGCGCACGAGTTCACCGTGTACCGCATGCAGCAGTACGACCTGCAAGGACAAGCCTACGGTGAGACAGTACTGTAATACTGCAATACTGCAATACTGCCCCTGTATGTGCGGGTACAGGGGACACCTGTACAGTACTTGCATGTGCAAGAGGCATAGTTACTGCTGAAGAGAGCAGGAGGCGCAGACGACGATGACAGCTGTGAAGCTAACAGTCGTTAGCCACAAAGCTAACATAGTGTCAGTCCATCATGCCCATTGATTATATTCATATATTAAACTTATATTGGCATGTCTAACGGGTAATAAACATGGCATCCTGTATCTAAAATAAAGCGACACTTTGACACAGCAGACCTCAAATAGTAGCTGGAAACATTTGATATAGCGTTAAGCATCCGCCTAAAGCTTCCACGTACTGTAAAGAAGGAAGTAGAACGATACAAAATGTAGCCGTACAATATGAGGGCACTTTACGAACTATTTTGGTAGTATGCATCTCTTTTGCAGTTCAGTAAAAAATGTTTCCAAGCAAAAGGTAAGGATAAATATTGAGATAAACATGTATAATTAAGAAGGCTTTGAAAGGGTAACGCATCATCTTTTAGAGAGTGAACTTAAATACATGTGATTTTGTGGCAAGAGCTATCTTCTGTCTGTTGCACAATGGGATAGTCTTGCACATTATTTCCAATGTGATTTTAATCAGTTGTCCTCAGTTCTTAATTTTGAGCTCAACTAAGACATGCCTGTAACTACACATTCGTGAATTTTAATATTTGTCCATTGTCCCTCCACAGGTACCAGAAATGCTATCCTGAACACAGAAGCTCGCACTGTCGAGGCGGAGGTACTAAGTCGTCGCTGTGTGATCATGAAACTGGCAGACTTTTCATATGAGAAGTACCAGAAGGCTTTGCGGCAGTCCGCGGGGGCTGTGGTCATAATTCTGCCTAAAAACATGTCTGCTCTTCCCCAAGACATTGTACAGGTACCCAGTTTTTCATTTGTAACTTAAGGCTATATCCACACGAAGACAAAACGCTTATAATTTCAGAAACTTTTTCTGTAAACACGGAGTTAGCTCAGTAAATGTGTGCGTCCATATGAATGTAGTCAATACGCCTGAAAACGCTGTGAAACTATGCCAGACCTGTTGGTGGCGCTGTGACGCAATGACGGGATCAAGCCCAAACTTCCGTGGGCATGCGCGGAATTTTGTAAACAGACAACATGGCGAGTGGGCGAGCTGGTACTACATTAGTATGGACGGACGATGAGGTTGAACTGTTGCTTCGGGTCACACTGGATTACAAAACCAACAAGCTACATTGTTGTTGTCATTATTTTCTGAGCGCGGCGCATGCGTGCTTTAACAAGAGGCGGGGCGATGACGCAAGCGTCTCAGATACATTGCGGAGAGGCAGTAACCACGGAGCGGCATATACGGAGTTTTGAAATCTTTCCACTCTGGGACCTAGTTTCAAAAATGTTCGTTTACACCCCCCCAAAACGCCGGCCTCGTATGGACGATACACTGGATTGATAAAGTATTTTTGCGTTTAGGCCTGAGCTTGACTTCGTGTGGACAGGGCCTTAATCTTCTGAAGAGGCTGTTGTGCTTTTGATGCCATTTGAGAGTTGACCAAATTTTCAATATTTGTTTCTTTATTTTATCTGTGTTTCTTTTTTGTTTTTTTGTTTTTTTAGGAATTCATGGAGTTGGAGCCAGAAATGTTGGCTACAGAAACTATAATCCCAGTGTATTTTGCTGTGGAAGATGACGAGCTCCTGTCCATCTACACACAAACTCTCACCTCCTCCACATCCCAAGGCTCGCTATCAGCAGCTGAAGGTACAGAAAACAAACAATAGGCTTTAATCAATTAATACTAACAATTCTGCAGATAATCAGATATATCTCAAGGCATTAGTCATTTAACATTTTAAGCAATAGTTGAATCAGCAAATACATTTTACCAGTGTGTTTGAACAGACATAGGATTTATTTTGGTCACTATTGAAAAATAAGTTTCAATAAGTAATGTTTCACATGTCCTGTGCCCTTCACTTTTAGCTTAGTGCATATAATATGATATGGGTTTATCTAGATTAATATAATAATTCAAATTTTTGTAGCTATCAAAATAAATTTTTGTTATGACATCTGTCTATCTGGCACAATTAGGTAAGTGCTGCAGTCCCAGACTAAATGTATGTTTTTTTTCCAGTGTTACTTCACACGGCCACAGCTAATGGCTTTCAGATGGTCACCAGTGGAGCTCAGAGCAAAGCTGTGAATGACTGGGCCATCACCAGTTTAGAGGTAGATTGGTTTGGGACTTAACTTATTGTGTGAAGGGTAATACATATATTAATATCTTTCACAGGGTCGTCTGGCAGGAGTTGGTGGAGAAGATTTGCCCACAATTGTTGTAGTTGCTCATTACGATTCATTTGGTGTGGCTCCTGTACGTTTCCACAATCGAGATTAAATTTATTTGTGGCGGTATTTCTTCTGTAACTTTTTTTCTAACTCCTAGTGGCTGTCGTATGGAGCAGATTCAAATGGCAGTGGTGTGTCTGTATTACTGGAGTTGGCTCGTCTCTTTTCGAAACTTTACACGTACAAGAGGACACACGCTGGGTTAGACATAACACTAACGCATTACACAATGCTTAATGAGCCTGCAATACCTATATTTATCCCACTGCTTCCCTTTTTTATGGCTTTCCATTGCTTTGTGTTTGTACAGATATAATTTGCTATTCTTTTTATCTGGTGGTGGAAAATTCAACTACCAGGGCACCAAACGCTGGCTGGAAGACAACTTAGACCATACAGGTGCAGTACCATACATTAAGCTTTGCTCAACAACATAGGATCAGGCTCATGGCCCCTATAGCCCTTTACAAACATCACACACAGAACCTCCAGGTTCTGGATCCAGATCTTCTTGTAGTTTTGTGTGCAGTAGTATCCTGTCTTCACCTCCAATCGCCCCAGCAAATATCATATCTGGACTTAACTGTGCACAGTCAACACTAGGGCTGCACAATATCGAAAATAAATTGTTATTGTGATATTGGTGCGTGCGATATCCATATAAAAAATATCTGCAATTTAAAAAAAAAAAAAAAAAAAAATATATATATATATATATATATATATATAATTTCTTTTATTTAAGACAACTAAACAGACACATCAACATTCAATAAGAACAACAAACAAAAAAAGCATATAAATATATGCATTTGAATGTCAATAATGTTGTGCTCAGTCTCTTGCGTTTCAATGCAGATTGCAATTTTAGGTGAAAGAAAAAAACATTGCAATAATATTGTTATCGCAATACTACGGGGCGGCACGGTGGCTGAGTGGATAGCACTCTCGCCTCTCAGCAAGAAGGTCCTGGGTTCGAATCCCGGTCGGACCAGGGCCTTTCTGAGTGGAGTTTGCATGTTCTCCCCGTGTCTGCGTAGGTTTCCTCCGGGTGCTCCGGTTTCCCCTACCACTAAAAATATGTCCAATAGTTCTGGCATGCGCCTCCTGTACTGGCGACCCCGCTCCCATCTCTGTGTGGAGTGAGAGACAAATGCCCAAAAATTAACAATTGTAAACCGCTTTGAGACTCAGATCTGCAGTGAAAAGGCGGTATATAAATAAAAACTTACTTACTTACTTACTAATACTAAACACTAATATCGAGCAGCCCTAGTCAGCACCCTGGATTTAAACAAACTAAACTTTGGGTAGACGTGCGTGTTTGTAACGGGAATATATCATGTGTGAAATAATATTGCTCCTGAACTCTTGTTTCGTACCACACTTGGCCTTGTTTTCTCACGGCTGTCGTTCAGATTAATGTCAATGGCTTTTGTGATTGTGATTCAATAGACTCAAGTCTGCTCCAAGACAATGTGGCTTTTGTGTTGTGTCTCGACACTTTGGGCAATGGAGACTCGCTACATCTCCATGTTTCCAAGCCTCCCAAAGAGGGCAGTCCTCAGCACCAGCTGTTGAAAGAGCTTGAGATGGTAAGTGCAATAAATACATTCCACTGTACTCTGAAGTATAAACATGTGCTGCTCTTAGGTTGTGGCCAGCCAGTACCCTGAGGTCAAGTTCTCCATGGTCCACAAAAAGATCAACCTGGCAGATGACATGTTGGCCTGGGAGCACGAGCGCTTTGGTATTCGCCGCCTGCCTGCATTCACCCTGTCGCACTTGCCCTCTCACCGCCTCGCTCGGCGCTCCAGCATCATGGATGTGCGGTCAGTGTCCCCCTCCTCTCATTACGGAGTGGGAGAGCCCCCTGCTGGGTGGGTTCATTACTGCAAGTTTGTGTACCTCCTGAACAATTCAACATAGTTTGTCTTTACATTATTCACCTTGTCTCATGCATTGTGTGACAGCTTTTTCTTGTAGATTTTGAAATGTCTTGACTTATTTTCATGTTTACCTCTTAAACAATAATCAAGATCACTTTCTCCCTTGTGTTCTGCAGGCCTCATGTTGATGTGCAGAAACTTGGTAGAAACACAAAAATTGTTGCAGAGGCTCTTGCCAGAGTTATTTATAATCTCACCGATAAGGTACCATGAACACATTGCAACAAATAAAAGGCTGATTTACCCATGCGTCACTTTGTAATCCTTTCTCTGGCTGTGCAGGGGGCGCCAGGACAGCTGCAGATCTTCACTGAACAAATGGTGAGCAGCACTACGTGGAGACGGACTAAAGTAAGACGTGTGATAACAGTTGGCTTTCCATCAGCAGGTGCAGGAGGAGCAGCTCTCTGCAGTGGTGGACTGGCTCACAGCTCAGCCTCGAGCGGCACAGTTAGTCGATAAAGACAGCAGTGTTGTTTCCACACTGGAGTATCATCTCACACGCCACCTCAAGGATGTGAAGAAACATTATGTGAAGGCGGACAAGAGGTGCGACTCATACACGTTTACTGTTCTAATGTTCTTCATCTAAAGTGACTTTGTACTTTTTCAGAGATCCTGAGTTTGTGTTTTATGACCAGCTGAAGCAAACAATGAATGCATACAGGTAATGGGTTTAATTTTAAAGGTGGTGTTTTTTGTGCGTAGGTTTGAATTGTATTTGAAGATTTGGCGAGTTTTTTACTTCTCCTTTAATGTTAAAAAAATGTATCTAACAGGGTTTCTCACAAAAAGTTATTTCCCTGTCTTGCACTAATTTCAAATTAATGTGATTAAAGCTGCACTAACTGACTTTATTTTTGTATTAATTACTAAAATGCTATCCATGTCCGTGTAGGGCATTGGGATATACGTCCTTTTGAAGAAAAAGTAGTGCAGATTTGTGCTGGCATAACATTATATTTTAGATCGAGTTTTGATGAAACAAGGAAGAGAATGTGTTTCAGGTCGCAGATTGTGACCAATCACAGCGGACCACTAGCCCCAACTTTCGTGAGAAATCTACAGGTCCGTTAGCATAGACGGCTGAGTTAGCACAACAAGCCGAGGAGCTAACCTGAAGCTTCCTCGTCTTCGTCACCGGTTACTGCTTACACAGCGAGACAGCCATCCAAAAGAAAGTCTCGTTCCTCCGCGCTTCCCGGTTCTATCGTTCTGTGGTCACGCCATCCACGTGAAAATCCATATCCATGATATATCCATATTGAGAGACACTAACTCCGTCCCAACAGTGAGAGAGGCCAGCGGGTCCGCGGCTTCAAAATCCCAAAGTCAGTTAGTGCAGCTTTAAGTCAAATTGAGTTCAAACTATAAATCAACGTCATATTCAAATATCACAAAGCCTCATTTGAGGGGTTATAATATTATATACTCATGAAATGGTGAAACTACATTGTTGCATTGAACAAAGTTGCTAAATCTTTCACTGATGTTTTTCTCCTCAACTGTCATCAGAGTGAAGCCGGCCATTTTTGATCTGCTGCTTGCAGTTTGTATCGCGGCATACTTGGGTGTAATGTATCTTGCAATTCAGGTAAGTGAGTAGTGGTAATTACTTTATTTTGATTTCCAGTTCACAGAACAAAGCCCATTGCCCTCTTTGTCTCTGCAGAACTTTGGAGTTTTGTACAGTGTGGTCCGTAGAGTTACCCAGCCTAAAACAAAGTCTCACTAAACCGCTGCATCACCTTCAGACGAGTCTGGAAGGGCTTTTTTTTAACCAGTAAAGTACTTTCTCTGACCTGAGCTACGATGATGTCACATCTTGTCTTGCTGCCAATGCCGCCTCAAAGACTAAGAGCATCAGGAATGACCAAATGATTCGTCCTGATGCTTTCCCCATGACATACTTCATGCCGTAAACATCAGTTTTCCATTGAACCCACTTGTCTCTTGTACTGTACCAGTGACCTGGAACTCTTGTTTTGTTGGCAGCTAGAGTGGCTGAACTGGCCACAATATTTTGATCTACACAAGATGAGAAGTCAGAATAAAATGTGAATTTATTTGATAAATTTACCTTAAATAATTTCTCTAAAATGACAAGCAACCCAGTATATAGCTGTAGGAATTTAGGACTTGTTTATAAAACATGTTTGTAAAATCTTAACCAAATTATGTGTGTGCTTTTGACGTAAGTATAACTTAATAGTTCTAAAGATCTTCAGTTAATTACATCTGATTCCAGTCACTTCCCCTATCAGCATTTTTTACTGTGACCGAATGATAACTGTTTTTCTACGTTTTAAATGCCATAGCAAGATTCTGGTCAAGTCAGCACAGCAGTTAATTTATAAAACAAAACACCTGTGGAATTATGGGCCATGTCTGAGAATTGAGCTAATGTTGAATAAAGCTGTGGAGCTTGACCTTTGTTTTGCCTGTAGTGGATGAATGCTGTTGATGTTTTTAAAGCATGTTTCGTCAGCCGCACCACCCGGATGTGTGTGGTTCTTATTTATTGATGGCTTCCATTTGTGCAATGCACTTTGAAGTCTTATTGGATTTTAACTTTAAAATGATCTCGCACAACTTTGAAATAAATAATGAACACAAAAGTTGTTAACTGGCATGTTTTTATTGTGGGTAAATAAAACACGAGTTGTTAAAATTGTATTCCGAAAATGTTTAATCATTGTGAAATGGTTGTTATACAATTTCAACAAAATGGGACAATTTGTTAGACATTCCATGTTTAAATACTGCTAAATGAGGGACTACATTGACATGTGCTCAATGTTTAGTTTTCCTTTAAATCATACACTCAAGCCCCCTCCTAGTTAGTATATTGATGCAAAGACAAAAATATAAATATTAATAAATTACAGTGCAATTCAAGGAAATTCAGGCATTAGTGGCCCTCCACACAACCCTCGTAGTCACAATCTCTTTCGTCTTGGATTGATAGTTTGGCACAGTCAAAGTATTGATGTAAATACTTTCTGCAAAGTGAGATTATTGGGAGCATGTATGAGTCCAAATTCAGCCGGACAACACTAGGGTCATGAGAGGCACTAAGTTTGATTTGATCAGCAAAGTCTACAAAGGGGCAAGGTCCAATTACTCATAATTTTGTATTAAAATGTTAATTGAAAAACAAAAGGAAACTAATTGTACCAGTTGTCTGGTCAGAAAGTGTAAAAAAAACACTTTGTATACAATTCATCTTTGTTTCCAAGTGTATGATTGATTTTCTAAAAACATCTTTAGACTATACATAAAATATCTGAAATTAAAACTAGTCTCACAGTAGAGCAGGGCTCACTACAACAGCAGTGCAAGTCCTTTGTGAACATTAGGCTGGAAAAAACATGGATTTTACACATTTAAGGATAGTACAGTACTGACACTATGTAGTAGAACAGTGACACAAGCCAGCATTTACTTCTGAAACTAAATCCAGATGTGAGTGATGAACCCTTGATATCTCATCTGAGAAGTTTACTTAAAACAGGAAATATGACAGCTTGGAACCGTGTTTTTTTCCGAGACAAAAAAACAAAACAAAACAACAGCAGCAAAGCAAAATGAACTAGTCAACTACAAAACAGGTGCAAAAGCAAAAGGAGGCTGGAGAAGAGAGTCCTCCAGTAGAGGGCATCTGTGGCCTGCTCCAGCGGCACAAGCATGCTGTGTTCTTCAAGCAAGAGCTCGAATTTGATCATGAAGAGTAAGTATATCCCTTATTTCAACAGGTTAGTGTTCCCACACACAGACACACGGAATAAGCCAATGAAACCCAATCACTGTGATTGTATCTAAGATATTCAATAGCCACACATCGATGACAGTATGAGTTGCACATACACATTATGCTCCAGCCTGGACTGTCTGTGGTCAGTGGTTACACGGACTTTAAAAGCTTTGTTTAGATGTTAAACGGTAACTGTTACATAGTAAATGGATTCATCATTTGTTTATCGTCAAAATCATTCCATCATGCATCCTGATAACATATTCTGCATACATAGGTATTTTTTGTATGGTTATATTGTACACAATTTTAGGCTATTGTTTCTGTATTTATAGTTCTAGATAGCCTTCACCAATAAAACTAAAAATGTTTATAAAAAATTGTCAACACTGTATCAATATGAAGATGATTACGTCAGTCAAATCAGGCTATTTGCTGTCATTAAATCAGCAATAAGCTTGCATGCCTTCATGTCAGCGCATCAGATGCTTTAGCGATGTACACCAAGGAAAGATTACAAAGAAAAGGCTTCTATATTACATGAAAGTCCCAGGACAATTGTTCGTGATTACTAAAATTAAACAAAATTAAACAATATACTAGTCATTTACTGATCAGCCTTTTTACATAACATGTTCACACACACCACTGTGGTGTTTTAAGTTCATATCAGTCAAGTACACAGTTCTGAGGCACCACCATTACCACCAACTGTGTGCAGTGATTTGAAAATCAATACAATGTGGTGAAAACAGCACACAATGCCAGGCTGCACAGCATGGCCCCTACAAGACAGCACTGTTTCCCACAATTCTCTACTTCCCTTTAAGTTTGCCGTGCTGTAGTACAGTTTTTCTCTATTGCTACAACACAAAACCCAGTACTCTAAACCAAATGACCAATTGCCTAAACACATTTTTTAAAACTCCCCCCCCCCCTCACAACCATAAACTCAATTCTCCTGTAGACACTGTTCACAAAACACATGCCCTTTTTCTCAAAACTCTAAACACATTTTTCCTTTGCTAAAACACATTTTTCCTTTGCTAAAACACTTTTTGCATGTATCTCTGCTCCTATAATCATTGTGAGGCTCATGTGATGAAAAATGTCTCCCACTGTCAGCAAAACCTGAACACAATGAACAGACCTGGTGTCATTCAGTAAACAGAACCACTCAGAACTGAACACTCCTGTTGCAAATGATGTGACCACAACTTTATAAGTCAGTGCAGGTTCCAAACAAAAATGGATGATCAAGGCACAAGAAGAGGAGTTTGAGTCAGAGGAGGGAGAGGAGCAGGTCAAAGAGGGAGAGGAGCAGGCCACGGAGGGAGAGGAGCAGGTCAAAGAGGGAGAGGAGTAGGCCACGCGGGGAGAGGAGCAGGTCAAAGAGGGAGAGGAGCAGGGAGAGGAGCAGGCCAAGGAGGGAGAGGAGCAGGCCAAGGAGGGAGAGGAGCAGGCCAAGGAGGGAGAGGAGCAGGTCAAAGAGAGGAGCAGGCCAAGAAGGGAGAGGAGCAGGTCAAAGAGGGAGAGGAGCAGGCCAAGAAGGGAGAGGAGCAGGCCAAGAAGGGAGAGGAGCAGGTCAAAGAGAGGAGCAGGCCAAGGAGGGAGAGGAGCAACATGTATTATGAATGCACGGGAAATGTAGGTACCCCAGCTTTAATTTAGTGAGTTTTAGTTTCAGGGCGACAAGTAGATACATGGGGGACACTTCCAGAGGCTCACATAATTCAGCTGTGTTTCTCTCACAGCGGTGGATTTATCGCATCCACAGGTTGCGCAAAGATCCGCACTTGTCCTGTCCGCGCTGGTCACATGGGAATCAGTCCCTTGCAGCACCAGAGCATGTGGAATCCAGTTCCACGTACATAAAAAAACAATAAGTGTCTCACGGACACGCGCGCTCCCCGTGAGGGGGAGGGGGGGGGGGGCACCCCCACTATTTGGCACTCCCTCCAAATAGTGAGCCCCCCCTGTCATCGCACCACGCCCCCCCCCTATTTGAGAAGCACTGCCCTAAACATTGTGTTTTCAATTGTTACTGTACTGTAGTATCTTTTGTGCGTAATGGATCCATAGAGTTACTCATGTTCGCATTGAGTTGTGATATAACTGCATTTTCTGCTTTTTGTAACTATTCTCATAAAACGCACAAATCTATAGTAAATGGCCAAAATATATTTGAGAATAAAAAAGTGTTGCTCAAATGCATCCTGGCAGGTGTATCCTGGCATCCTGTATGGACATTTTCTTCTGTGTGTGCTTTATATTCTTCATGTGTTTTAACTGTTGATTCTCTGACCTGTGTTGGTGATTTCAATGGTTTTGTTAAGTCCTCTGAGATGACTTCTGTTGTGACCTAGGGCTATACAAGAATAAATTGTATTGTATTGTATTGTATTGTGTGATACTGTAAAAAGAACAGTCTCACATTCTGAAAATTGTGTTTTCAATTGTTTTGGTGAAGTGGTTAATGATGCTCATAGTGTTCACATTTTTGCAGACCATGAGAGGTATTTTGGTGTGATGGGTTGGTTTTGAGAATATGAGAAACTGTTTTGGTGTGATGAGTCGGTTTTGAAAAGAGACTGTGTTGTTGTGTGTACGTAGCTTTAGAAAAGAGGTTTGTGTTTAGAGTTTTGAGAAAAGGGAGGGCAGTATCGTGAAATGTGTTTAAGCAATAGAGAAAAACTCTAAAGATAATGGAATGAGAGGCTCAATAATGGATTCCAAATCCAACTTGTGCCTAATACTGGTCTGTTATTACCACTGTCTAAATATAAAACAGCCCTAGATTCCTACACAAACACATTTGGGTCACTCGTTCAGTCTGGTGGACAACCACAATCCAGCACCAGCCAACTACGGTATTTCAAATGTAAAGATAGCAACAATAAGACAAAAACGTTACCTGAAAGAAAAAACATTCACAGTGCTCTAAAATGTTAAAATCAAATTCACAAAGAGTTGAACAAATAATAATAATCCTTCTTTGATTTTGACGTGGTCCTAAAAAGAGTATCTTGCATTTGCCGCTTGATGCCAGGTGGGTGCGACAAACGGCTGGTTATAGATGCTTCTCCTTAGCGATTCCATTCTGCACGTGTTTCCTGCAGAGACAATGGAGGAGCATGAGTTTAGGGCGGTGATGAAGATGAATGTGATCAGAAGATGAAGAGGTACTGTAATCAGTGGTGTTCAAGGCCTCATGATAAGGACAGCACATAATCACATCTGCATATGGCCTCTCTGATCCCATACAGAGCCCTCTGACCTCCCACATACTAGCAAAATGCATTTACTTCTTATTCCAAGTGAGAATTGTTATATTTTGTTTTTGCTTGTCTGGACAAATTGAAGGGAAATCTTGTTGTAAGATAAATTCATAGTTTTTCACTTTAAGGATAAGACCCAGAAGTGTTCACTACCTTTTATTTCATCATCAGTTTTGTGGCCCGCTGTATAAAAAAGATAATGCACATGAAATTGCATTCCTTTTCATTTCTGATTTGATGATTGTGACATTGATTTGGCTCGTGACAATCCAGACTGGTCAAGAATGGATAATATTTTAGTCTTATGTCCAAGTGTGATTGCTATAAGAAAATACAGGAATTAATAATCAAAATTTAGTTTAGTTCAAAGCAATTATTATTTCCAGAGGATATATTGGCTATATTCTAATAACTGGGTGTGAGCTATTTCAGTAAAAACTAAAAATTGCTTTTATTGAAGCAATACTGGACTAAAGGTAAAGTAATAGAAGTAAGTAGGTCAACTTTTTTGTAATCCAGCTTCTCATTAAATAATTATGTGTGCTAGTTGACATATTACCAACATGTTTTTCATTATAATGTTCAAACTTCATATGTTTCTGTTCAATTTCATATTTTGATCACATCCAACCATCCATTCTCTTCCCATTAACCCATTTTCTGGGCGGGGGGGTGGCAGTCAGTTGTCACCCAATTCACAGAGCACCATTGAAAACCATCTGCCGTATTCCCAGGTGTTCCCCTGGTTCGGAAACTATAAAATGTTTGTGTAAACTGTTTTCAGTATTTACAGTATTAGGATCCAACTTAGACTCAAACATCTCTCCATTCCCCTGTAATTGCATATTGTTAAAATACATTTACAAACATTATAATTACACATCCCATTGAACACTGTGGAAGAAAAAGAGGATTCCAGCGTCAAAACCAAACCCTTATGTAATCTGTTTTCTGACCACAAAATCCTAGACTGGGCAGAATCAATGGTATTTATTTACTTATCGCTGCGTTTGCCATGTGTTTTTCACATTTTAATTATCTGATTTCTGGGTCAGGGGTGACAGCAGTTGTTTTTGACTCCGAATCAGTGAAAAACACATAAACATGATCAAAGGTTAACGCAGTAATAATGTGCGGCCTTCTGATAAACCAGCTTTATCTTCACCTATAGATTGTTTTTTAAGTCGAGCTGATTTTTGCTGACATGTGCATTGCCCTCGAGTAACACACATATCTGTAGATTTCACAATCAGTAGGGAGCACAATACTTGCAATTGTCATAAATTGTCAATAGTTTAGTCTCAGAGTCATGTGACGCCGATCCATACTGAAGTTTGATTTGATGATTATTTTAAGTCATGTTGGAGCATGATTTTAATGCTTCTGTTAAATCATTCCAGACCTTCACTCTGATCACACAGATAGATGTTGTTCTCCCTTTAGGGGACATATAATTGTTTATTTCCTCTAAAGCTGTACCTGTGATGAGCGTCTCTAAATAAAATTGAGCTTTCATATGCCCTGAACATTACCTTTTTTTACTTTAACTACTAGCAACGAGTGTGAGTTCCTCGTCTGTAGAGCTAAGCTCCGACCGGCCACACTTGCTCTCTGAATTATTGGACATTCTATCGTAGTAATGGTCAAAATACCTCTGCAAGCTTTCTATTGATTCTTCCTCCAGTGATTCCAGTTTCTTGTTTGTAGTGTGCAGTTGCTGATTAAGTAAGATTTACGGTATTATTGGAAGATAGTTGGCCTCAGTGGCTTGTTAGCATCCCATCATAGCTTCGCCCATAATACTATTTATTGTACATTAATATATTGTTTATTTCTGCACAAAATGAGTAGAATTTTGCTTGGTTTGAACCAAAACTGGACCAAATGCATATTTCTTGAGAAAAATAGCATTAAAATTAGGTATAACATGATAGTACATGATAAGTTCCTAGCCCTCATTGGGTATTGTCTCCCAAGCATTTAAATGGATAAAATAGGCTGCGTGCCGCATAGAAACAATGTATGTGACCTGCAGGCTGTCATTTGCCCAGGTCTGGTTTAGTACTAACTTTTATCACCTCATCGACTCTTCAGGCTTCATGTGTTAACCAACCGGACTGAAGAACATTATATAAACACCATTAGATTATAATAGGGCTTCTCTGTGCAGTAGCTTATACCATAATGACTAGTTTATTCAACATCTTCCACAAATAGCACCCTCAAACTGCAGCTTGACTCCGCGCCCGAGTGGCTGCTGCCTCAGTCTCTTTACTGAATGAAAGCAGAAGCATGTTGAGGCTCACCCAGGGGCAGAGTTGTGATGTCCCGCATCATCAGCTTTACTGTGGTTGCCCCGGGCCATTCTGAGCGCCGCCGCTGCCTTGTCCTCGTCCTCGTACTCCCTGACATCGTTCACCTCCTTCATCTTCAGGACTTTGACCACGAACAGCACAATAAACTGAGGAGAGAAGTCCATGAGGAATGTGGGAACTGCTGACACTGTAAGGCCCACAACTGGTTAAAGCTAGGGTACCCAACAATATGCTGTGTTTATTTTATTAGAAATCATGTTATGTTTGCTTATTTTCAACGTGTGAGTCACTATATGAATAATTGGTCTGAGAGCTGATTGGCTAAAATTAGGTATCAAAGCTTTAATTTGACTTAAAATAGTATTTGTCCAGGATATACAATTAATGGTCTACGCAAACAGGCATTTTTTGATAAGTTAAACAAAGTTATTCAGGCCAAGCGTATGCAATACAAATCCATATAAACTATTTATATAAAACTAAACTTGAAAAAGCATTGCTCAAAGTTTATAACCAACTGTTAAAATATGTTTTATTTATTTAATCCTTACCAAGAACCAGTATATGTTCATGAGCAGCAGTGCCAACAGCAAAGCATTGAAAAAGAAGTAGAAAGGAATGTTGGGCACGGACTGGAGACTGGACACACACGTCGCATACAGAACCTTCAAGGGGAACCAGTAGAGGCGAAACCAAAACCTGCACGAGAACATGTACATGAATGAATGAATGAATATTTATTTATTATTGTGTCTTACATACAACTGTATGCCCAGCCCTTTCATGGGCTTACAAGACACCAATATAAAGAACAGGATCAGATGACTGACATGATACAAATATAACTTATTTGAATAAACAGGATTTCCGGCGCTTCCAGGCTTTACCAACATAAGTAGCCAATTTAAACACATTGGAATCAAACAAACATTTCAGCTTATAATCATCACTGCTCCAAAACAATTCAGGCTTTTGAACAAACAGATCACTAAATAAAAGATTACAAAGATGATCATACAAAGGACAATACAAAACAAAATGTGTTTCATTTTCCATCTCTCCTAAGTCAAAGTTTACAAAGCTAGTCTTCTTCGGGAGTCTGAGTAAACCTTCCCGTTTCTAAGGCCAGGAGGAGGGTACCAGTATGCAACTGAGCAAGCAGAGATCTTTGATTTCTTGTCAGATTTGCTTTAACATAGAATTCTGATTCATATACGTCCTTCATTTGTATGTATGTTCTTAACTTTGGTTTTGCCAGAATCCCATTAAACCATCCTTCTTCAAATTTTGACATTCATTTTGTTCTATGAAATACATACTGGAGATGTACCTCAGCAAATACAGTACGAGCCTCAGTAGCCAAAAATTTGATACAAATTAGAACAGAATAATAATAATAGTAATACAGTGCTTACCATGTGATGCTGAAGCTGACAGAGCCCATGTTTCCCAGTATATCATTAAACAGGGAATAGCCGCCGCCTCTGGTCTTCAGGTAGACGTTGAGTTTGGTGAATTCAAGTTGGATGTCGTTTATATCATGCAGGAACAGCACGAGAATACCAATGTTGTGGTATCTAAGAAATAGACATAAAGTATAAGTGTGTGTTATTGCATTTCATGGCATTCTCTTTAATTTATTAAACAAGAACCAATGAATATTACAGAATCTAAAAAGGTGTGTCTTATCATTTAAAATCTGTGCATATTTCCCAAAACAAAATAAATAAATTGGAATAAAAAAATAAACAGCTGGAAGAGGTGGTTGGACAAAAGCGGACGGTTATTTGGACACATAAAATTTGTGTTTAGTTTTTTATAGAATCAGGCCTACTCTTAGTGTTCCGGACATTATTATACCTGTAGAAGATAAATTGCAAATATCATGAGTTGGCTGAGGCAAACCTAGCAACCTGGGGCCGTATTCCTAAAGATTCTGAGAGTCCTCTCAGAGAGCTCTTATCTTAACCTAAAAACTCCTAGCTAGGAGTCTTAGCTTAAAAGTTATTCCAGAACACTCTTAGAGAACTCTGAGCAAGGAATTGACAACAACTTTTATCTTAGTGAGGAGGCATGGCCGACCCCGTTGCTAGGTATGAGTCATCATTTCAGACGCTGTGATTGGTTGATCCTAAAAGTTAGAAAAAACATATTTTTGATGATAATAGGCAAAATAAGGGCCCTAAAATGGACAAACTCAATCATGGAATCTAATTTTAGGAACACTGTGTTATTGTAAATAATAACCAAAAGCTATAAAGTCAGATATATCAATGGTACATAAACATGATAAAGACTTATAAAATATATGGATATAAATATATATATGATATTAATGATAATGATAACGTTAGGATTAGTAAAGGCTGTGATATTTATAGACTTATAAGGAAGTAAGGAAACAATATTATATATAAACATATTATACATACACTGTACAAATCAAGTACAAGGGAGTTTAAAAGTCTTATCCTCTCCCACTCCTTTTTGAGCTGGATTGTTGTTAATAAAACAAAACTGTATATTTGTACTTCTATTCTGTTGTTGTTTTGTTTGTTTTTGTCCTTTTTTCTTGTTTGCCATGGCTCAAAATAAAGTATTCATTCATTTGTACTGAATGTGTGACAATTTAGGACCACTTTTTCCTCTCTTTCAACTTTTACCATTTCTACTTACTTTTGTGTAACAAAGGTAAAATGGATGAGGTGTTATTGCTGACCAGCCAATAAGAAGCTGGTCACATGATTGACTTTTAAATATACCACAAACATGATTCCTGCTTGAATCTGTAGCGTTTCACTGATTCACTGTCATCCAGTGTATAGAATATTTCTCCTGTCTCCACCGTCCACCATTTTGTGCTCTTAGGGAACTTTTAAGTCGCTAAAAGTCCTCCTCTCAACTCTTAAGGGATCTCCCCTTAAGAGCACTCTTAAGAGCTAGGATTTTTTAGGAATAGCTTTTATCTTAACTAGGAGCTACTCCTCACTTTTAGGAGAAATTCTAAGAGTTGGTCAAGATTCTAAGAAAATTCTTAGAATTTGGCCACTAGGAGCAACTTTTAGCAGTAAGAATCTTTAGGAATACGGCCCCTGGTCACTGCCATCTACTACCCAGTGGTTTCAAAAAGAGAAAAAGAATTGTAACATTGTCTGGAAAGATAATAATATAATTGGTTCCCTACTATAGATATGTGCAGGACAATGACACCTGCCACGCTCTTTGGATTGGTGAAAGAAAGACATAACACAACAGCTGTTTTAGTAGTGTTGAAACAAGTTCAGACAGAATGTTGCCCAGCTTTCAATTTGTATTTGCTTTGATTACAGGAAGGAAACGTGCAGGACTTATCAGTTCCTGTTCTATTTCTTCCTGTGAATCTGATTGGTTTGAGTTTAGAGGAAGCAGCAAACAGAGCATTTCTTACCTTGTTTGTCTCTTGTCAATAAAATACAACATCTACTGCCAGTCTAATGCACAGTTGCCCACTTTAACTCCATGCTTGACATTTGTAGAGCTGTAATTAAAAGGTTGACTTATAAGTGCTTTGAACACCTTTATAGGGATCTTTGGCCTACATACATATGCCCAAAGAAGTTTTTTAATTGATTCCCCCAAGCTTTAGTTGGAGAGCAATCTTTCCCCTTTAATTTTTGCGAGGCAGCAAAATGCCTTGGTTCACATTGATGAAGTGGAACAACATCGAACTCTATTTTTCTGATTTGTCAATTGGAGAAAATGTGTTTTTGGATGTAAATATGTGACAACATAATTTGGCCCGAAGACAAAGTTCACAGGGATCTGCCCCGAAATGTGCAAAAAATCTGGTTTTCTGCGAGTGACACTTCACTAAAGTCTGTTTCCAGAACTACAGTTACCTTGAAACTGGACTCATTCAAAAGCTGATCTTGAAACCTTTGAGCATTAATCAAAATCTCTCAAAACTACATAGTATGTATCTGACCTAAACTATACTCCCAAGACTAGAGGCAAAATTAAGATGAAACGTGTTGAATGACATTGTTGAAGTAAATACCAAAAACTTGTTGCTCTATGGCCTTAGATTTTAGCTCTTTTTCTATGCTTCAGGGGCAGATAGCACATTTGAAGCCAATAAAAATATTTATTACATGTGAGTTCCTCACACGTGTTGGTAGCACTGTCTATAAAAACAAGGAAATTGTGCATCAAACATCAAAATGAGACTTCTCTTTTACTCATGAACTGAGAAAACAGTTTTTACTTTCCTAAACCTGGATGATAGTGATGCAAAGTTAAAGCCTATGGATACTTGCGCATCGCTGATCTTGCGGTGGCCCTTGTGATGTCACTTGATGTCACAAGGATCAATGCAAGACCCTTGCACTGCCACCCAAGCACCATCAGATTTTTCTAACTACGCAGCCGGCAGTGCAGAGAAGGCTCAGAGAAACATGGAGTGGCTGCGGGGAAACATGGACGAGGTACTTTGGTGCAGAATGCTTCTTGCTTCGAAGAGGACCAAAGGAAAAGCAGTTTGGGCTCATGGCTCAGAGCCTGATATACGAGGAGGCTGTGGACTAGCATGTCGAACTTTTATATCCTGTACAGTCGTTTCTTTTGCACTGTTCCTGTGCCTGTCTTTGTTCTTAAATAGTTCATGTTTGGTCTCAGATATTTATCACTTGTTTTGCTGTTTGTGCACAAATACACTTAATAATGACTATGTATCCAACAAGAACTGTCTTTATTAAGCATCAGAGTTGAAATTAGTTATGAAAACAAAAACTGTAGTACTGTCAGATAAACCTACGCCTAGAATACATAATGAGCTCTAACAGCTTGGTTCACCATTGTTTTTTTCTGAAGAGGAGAGGAGTAGCTAGCGTATATTTATAATGGAATCCTTTGATGTGCCAGGCAACTCATGTGAGATCGCCATCATGTGGTTGTGGTGTGGGATTACAACATTTGCTTCAAAACTATGCAGGGGGTACGCCCGAGCGTGCGAACAACTGACTGCGTAATAAACCAAGGGTCCAGCGCAAACACCAACGCAACCAGTGACGCCAGAGTATACACAGCCCAGGAGGAGACAGAAGTGAGATGGCACGGGCAGCGGCTGAGGGCTCTAAAAAGCTTGAATACACTGAAGCAAAGTGACAGTGAGAGAGACCAATACTTAGACACTAGTGTCACAACAGCGGAATCACGTAACGACACACCACAATACCCTAACCCTAACCCTTCCGATAGATATAGACATCTGCACGATTCATTTTCACACTTATGAAGTACCTGAAGGCATAGGAAAAGGAGATAAGTGCCAACGTGATGATGTGATGCACCACCATGACAGCGGAGTCCTTCCTCCAGGCGTCCATGTAGACCGTGGCGTAGATGGAGTGGCCGTAGAAGCTGCCCTGGATCAGGTATGCTATGGCGATGTCTAGAGGCACTGACATTCCACTCTTCCAGTCTGGACAGCCAGAAAGAATGCATTTGGTTTCATTAAATATTAAATATAGGATTATTTTGAAAACACTTGCCTGGTGTAAGAATAGAAATCTAATTTGCATTTTATGTGAAAATCTATAAATGACAAGTAAGTGACAAAGAACAGTTCAGAGCAGACACCTGGTCAAACACCTGCGGCCAGGAATTAGTTTTTGTTAAAATATTGACACAAAGCAAATGCATGGTTTGTTTGAAGTGTGTTTGAATTACATAGGGTCTGAAGAACACACAAAACAGCCTCTGCGTGTGACCTTTGGCTCAGATTGCTGCATGGTGAACTATATACAGTGACTTCCAGGGAGCACCAGATGTGAGGGGTCACCCGGGGTGGTCACTGTGGGGGTCGCAGAACAACCAAGCTTGTCACGCAATATCATTCTGCTGGTATATCTATATATATAACCCCAACTAATTTTTATGGACATATTGATATAAATGTAATGTGATAAACAATAATATTGAAAAATCTTTATCCAGAAAGCTTCACCCTAAACTGCATTATGTTGCAAGAAAATAGAAAATATCTTCTTACTTTTGCAAAGAAAATGTACAAACAATAACTAATGAGCCCCAAAATACATTGACCCATCTGAGACACTGCGGCGCAGAGGGATTGGAGTCAGGACTAAACAGTTTTACAGATTTTTATGCTAAAATATGAGACAAACTTCTACTCTAATAGATTCTATCCATACTTCTTTACAAAATACCTACTTGAATGTATGTTGTTTGATTATGTATAATTTCATTGCTGCCCCTCTTGTTTTGTGAAACACTTTTGAGTTGATCCATTTATGAATTGCATTGCACAAATAAACATGCCTTTGAAGTTGAATAAAATGCAATAATGCCGTTAAATGTTACCATTGAAACATCATTCTTCCCCTGAATAAAGGGCCTTCTATTGATAGAAGACAGTTATTTATTCTTCTACAGTTTACAATCCAAAGAACACAACTATTGCTGGTGAAAAGACGATATATAGAAGATATATTATTAAATGGGCTATACGCTGATGTAGTAATTGTCATGACTTAGGAACAAGAACACCTTTTCCTGTATTATGTTTGGCTCAAAAACCTCTCAGATCCTCAGTGCCTAAACGGAAACTTTCACTGGCCTGTCTGAGAGAGGTTTGTCTCTGTTCAGATGAGGTTTCTGTGTAATGTTTATTGATTGGCCCTTCCATCATTAAACATTGAGAGGCAGGCTGCTCAATGAACACGGCCAAGACCTCGCAGGGGAACTGGAGATCCCATTTCACTCTCTCCTTTCCCCTAAGGTCCGTCCTCTATAGTATACTGCCTTTGCTATAGAATAGATATAGTACTTCTTTAAGATTTTACATTGAAGTCCTAAATTTTGTCCAATTATGATGTGAATAACAAATGCCACGTTTAATATAGTAACACATAATATATTTTCATTATATTATTTTTAGTAGTTAAAATATAGTCTAAAAAGAGAAATGACCATTCTCTTTTTAGACTATACTAAATGGTCAGCTTGACCAGCGTAACTCACACAATCTCTGCTACGAGCTGCTGTTCTCATGGGCCGTGTTTGAATGGACTTTTCTTTAGCTACTTCCATGTTTTCTGTCCAAACAGTTATTTTATTTGTTACCATATACAGTAAGTGTGCACCTGCGCTCAGATGTTCCTCACAGTGAGTAGAGTTAATTGACACCAATAATCTGTATTAAACACAATAGAGCAACCTGTTTTACAAAACAGAAGGCTGCATCCAAATTCAACCTTTCCTTGTGCTTCAAAATGTAGCTTTTAAAAGACTAGGCTTCTCCAATTTAGGTCAAGTGACATTTAACACTATTTAAATATGTTCTTAGTGACACTTTGGTTAATTGATAAGCTGCAAAGGTCAATACAAACGAGAAGGAAGGCCGGGAAGGAGAAACTTTAAATAAATTAGAAGCAGGCAAGTTCCAGTTCCGCGTTCTATAATCTGTAGGAAGATTATCTACTCGAAGTACTGGAAACAAATGTGGCTGGTCTCAGACCCTTCTGCTTTCACATGTGTCAAAAATTGGAGGGCTGTTTAGTAGTAATCTTTAGTAATTTATTTATATACCGCCTTTTCACTACAGATCTGAGTCTCAAAGCGGTTTACAATTGTTAATTATGGGCATTTATCTCTCACTCCACACAGAGATGGGAGCGGGTCGCCGGTACAGGAGGCGCATGCTAGAACTATTGGACATATTTTTAGTGGTAGGGGAAACCGGAGTACCCGGAGGAAACCTACGCAGACACGGGGAGAACATGCAAACTCCACTCAGAAAGGCCCTGGTCCGACCGGGATTCGAACCCAGGACCTTCTTGCTGAGAGGCGAGAGTGCTATCCACTCAGCCACCGTGCCGCCCACACGTTTATTGTTGCGTCTTGTCCTTTACTTGTCTGTTTGTTTTATTACAAATACTATATCAAGGGGAAAAATTTAAACTCTGGCAGCACAGGCAACAAAATGAATTTAGTTGCCTGATCTGCAACTAAAACAATAGAAAGCCCTAGAAACAATTGTTTTTAGTGCAGCAGCTTTTGACTTAATATAGTAGTCAAATAATCAATGTGTAACTTGTAATGTAATTGTAATATCATAACAAACCATTATGTAACAAAGTGCCTATTGCAAGGAAGCTTGTCTCGATATATTGCTCTATACAGTATCTTTATTTTGAGTCCTAGTCACAATTCCGCTGTGGGCATCCCTGTTGTCTCTGCAGGTGTCTATCCTCATTTCGAGTGGGTTATGGTACAACACACTCTGACAGCTATTACAGGAGATGGAGCTATTAAAACAAGCTCCTGTCAGCCAGTCCACTGCAGCAGAGCGATAGGAGTGGACAGGAGCTCCGACACCCCTCTGTCTGATGGAACGGGCTCTCCGGCCCACGACTGGGGCCCCGCACCACTTAACTCCTTCCATTAGTTCTGCCTCCTGAGGTTTGGGAGCAGCACACATCATCACTTCCTTGATAAAATACTAAGTGGACTGGAGTTTATTATAAATGCTGTAATTTCAGGTACCTACTAGTATAATGAACAAAACCAACAAACCCACGAACTGCAGCCCTCAAAAGACCAATGCTCTACCAACTGAGCCACCGTTGCCCCTAGACTTAATTTACATTATATTACATTAGTCTTACTGTAGAAAACTGAGGGTGGGTCATGGAAGAAGGAGTAGGAGCAGAAGAAGAGCAGATAGGAGCTGTAGGACCACGACATGGTGTAGAAGACCAGCTTCCACGCACTCTCTGGCATCTTGTCAGCATCTTTGGGCATCAGTCTCCACCTCTGTGCTAACGGCTGTGGACACAAGCAGTTTTCAGAGATGTTACTAACAGATAAATCACCCGCTCAGCACCAAACACATAACATTATGCTAATGTTATTGTGTAGTGATGTGAAATAATTCACTGTTGTCCATAAATATGTAATCAATTATATCTTGTATAAGATAACTACTGGGCAAATGAATAATAGTAGAACACAATGTGATTTATATAACAGAGCTATTGAATAAAATGCTGGGTACCAATTGCTCATAAAAAGGGACTGTTGTCCATTATAGGGATTGCAGTCTGTTTGCAGTGCAAGCAGAAACAGAGGAAGTGGAGGACAAGACCTCTGACAAACTGATGAAGCATTTACCAAGGTTCCTCTTGACGCTTTCAGCCACAAACCACTCTACCACTCTCAACAATGTCAGCATATGCTTTTTCCCAGCATATGACTGAAGTTAATGTCAATTATAAATTGTCTGTGTCCTTTTTTATCCTTCATCTGCAGTCCAGCACAATTAGACCACCATGTAAATAAGGTGTTCTTAATATCTTAAAATCTAATATACAGTCTATCTAAGGCAGGGGTGTCTAACTGGTACTCAAAGGGCCGGTGTGGCTGCAGGTTTTAGAGCCAACCTGAGCAGGAGCGCAGCAGACTCCACCCATTTCCTCAGGTTAAAATCTTCAGGTTTTGAGGATTTCTAAAGCATAAGACAGAGATCAATTGCAATCTAACTTGTTTTTGACACTCATAACACGTTTCTCATAATGAATCTTCCGCTTACTAGCATCAATCTATAAAAGCCTTTTCACAAGAGAAGTAGCATAAACTACCACAGCCAATAATAAATAAGGTGTCAGATAGTGGCTTGGACGACTTTTTACAACTTCACAATCCATGAAATGATACAAAATAAGATAAAATACCTCACTTAGCGGAGATTGTATAATCATCATTATTGTAGTCTAGTCAATTACACAATCGAATTTTAAATAGCTTTTAAATAGACATTGTCCGAAATGGCAAACTGAAAAATGGCAAACTCCTTCTGTCACTGACTTAACAGAAACAATTGTATATAATTGGGTAAGAAGCCTTTTTAGTTCCCAAACCACATGCACCTGCACAGACACCATTTTGGCCTGCAGTGAAATGAAAGAGTGTAACTAGAGGAAGGAAAGTGAAATACGCCCGGGTCAGTGATACAGTACTTTTCAATCAGACGTTACCCGGGCCACTCGTCACCAGGACCTGATCCAACAAGGCTCTATGTCTGATTACATGACAAATTTATAGGGAATTTAAAGCTATGGTGAATCCAATCTCTTGTTTCTTTACCCTTATCACCAATGTGTCCACTTGAAGGACTTGCAGCAACAAGGGAAGAATGAGGGAACACTGCAAGACTCAATAATACAATAATAAAATAAAAAAAAAACAAAATAACTATCATAGTAGTGAGACATTTGGGCCCATTTGTGGTTCATTTCACAGTCCCTTCACTTATTGTGCAATACTTAAAACTTATGGCAATCCTATATATCATCGATCTTTTTTAGAATGCAACTATATTGTTTTTGTTTGAGCTACGGCTCTGCAATTTATCAAAATTAAAACTTCAAGGATTATTCAGTTTAAAAAATACATTTCATAATAATGCAAGGCTTTAAACCCCTGAAGAGAAGCCACATTTCAAATCTACATAGAGTGAGCTTAAAAACACCATCCATCCATCCATCCATCCATTTTCTACCCTTTAATCCATTTCTGGGTCAGGGGGGTGGCAGTCAGAGATGCCACCCAAGTCTCATAGCACCAGCCCCTCACTGACCCTCTGCAGGTGGTGAGTCCACAGGACGGCTGCTCTGAGTGTGAGCATAGCCTTGATCTTTCAGTGGGGGCTTTTGGGCAAAGTGGGGTTAAGTGTCTTGCCCAAGGACACAACGACAGCAGTCATCAGTGGGAGTCGGTGGAGAAGGTGCAGAGGTGGGAAACCACATTATTACAAAACGACAATAAGGCAGAAGATATGTCACTCACTGGGACAGTTGAACAATTGCACTTGATGTCTCTAGTCTGTGATTGGTCAGACCGCCGACATGTGACTCGTTCTGTGAATCCTGACTGAGGGCAGTGGATCACAGGAGGAAACATCTCTCACTTTGTCCAGCTGTACCAGGGCCTCTCTATCACCCAGCCCTGTGTCTCCCTCCTGCTCGCAACATTTATTTATAGAGGCCAGCTGTCAGCACACAGCACAGGCAAACCCCGCTCTCTCACCGCATCCCCCCGACTCCCCAACATGAGCCTGGACTGCATCAGACGCTCAAGGATGTGGCTCATCAGTTATTGGCATTCCAAGATCAAATCATAGAATAATCATCTTATCGGATATCACCCTTTACACTCTCCCAACAACAAGTCAACTACCATCTTCCTGGTATGATGACGAGGTGTGATTTTATAACAGTAACTGATGTCACACCTGCTGGCACATTCATGTGTTCAACACCAGCTCTGATTTGTAAAGATCTTACATTCAATAAATACATACATGTGTGCAATACCAGGCATGCAGTGGGAACGAGTCAAATGCTATAAATCGAACTGTAATTTACAGGGGAATGTACTGGAATCATATTCCAAAATATTTTTCACAAATTAAAAGGTTAAACAAGCTGAAGAAGATGACATAGTCTGGGATCGCGTCTTTAATTCAGACAGAAGACATGTTTTATTGTCGATGGTAGAGACAGCACGAACAACACGAACACAGAATGCAAGTGTATTATACAGAGCGGAGGCATGGAGACCTCCAATCAGCAGCTGCCACGGTGCCATGTAGCTTGGCCTTCAGATAGACAAAACAAGGGAAAAGTACTGGCTTCTGCACATTGATAGAATGATGAGTTTAACTTTAACAAAAGTTGCTTCAAAGTGTTATGAAATCTCACAAAGCAACAAACCACTAACTAGGGCTGGGCGATTAATCGATTTTAATCATTAATTCGAGTTTTACGTTTAGGGCGATTTCTTTTTTTAAAAATTCGATTTTTATTTTCTCCATCGCAGAACTACAGCGCTAACGCGCTAACCGCGGGTCTATGGTGTTGAGCAGTCATTTTGAAGCTAACCTAATGCTAACAGTCTCCCTCTGGCCTGATGCTCGCTCTCACAGTTGGTGCTGTTGCAATAACACTTCAAACGTTCAAGAATCAGACTTTATTTAATCGCCAAAACACACGCACGCAGGCTCCGGTCGTACGCCACATCTTTCACGCTCTCTCACGCTCGTTATTCCAAAGCGCACTCCCGTGTCCGTGGCGCGCACACACTCGTGTCCCACTGAGCCGCTGCACTTTGGGGAAAGGCACGTCTCACACATTGCTCTCATTGCTCTGATACAAACAACGTGTTCCCCGCTGTCTGTTAGCTACAGTAGCTGCTACAGTAGCTGTTAGCTACAGTAGCTGCTACAGTAGCTGTTAGCTACAGTAGCTGCTACAGTAGCTGTTAGCTACAGCATCAGAATGTAAACAGGAAGCTCGCACAATGCGGGAGTCACTGAAGTTAGTATTAGCGCCACCAGCTGGACCGAGCGTTGTACTACAGCACAGTTACTCAGGCACAGTTGAAAGAACAAGCATGAAAACCCGAGGAGGCTTTTGGAAAATACTGTCTGTTACAACATTTCTATTTTGAGTAATCAGTTTTAAAAATGTGATATTTCATGTAAATAATGCATGTGTTTAATAGGATTGATATATTTGCGATGGGCCTTGTTTGTGTGATTTAAGTTATTTTGAAGGTGCATAGTGTCATTGTAAGTGAAGTTATTATAAAACTGTTAAGCTACATTTTCACTGTTTACAATGGCAGAGCCATCTTGTTTACAAGCATGTTTTAAGGCTTAATTCCTGTTACACTTATGCTCCATGGGGATTTAGATTAAACTGCATAAAGGAAAATCTATTTCTTTGTCAGTTGTAGTTTGTTTTTAAATAGAAAAAAATAAATCGATTAAAATCGAAAATCGGATTTGGTGTGAAAAAATCTGAGATTTTTTTTTTTTGCCATATCGCCCAGCCCTACCACTAACTTAAATGTGTATTATTTTTAAACATGCAATGAGCTTTAAACATGCTACAACAATTATTGCAATTTAATGTTAAAAATAGGGCTGCAGATATAAAAAAAAAAAACAATATGAATTTGTGCAGTTTTAATATGAGAACTTCTGATTAAAGTGTTTCTATTGAAAGCAGTGGTAGACTTTAAAGTTTACCTGTTTCTCCAATGTCCTCCATTTTGGAATGTATAAAATCATACATTGCAAACTTTTATAAAAAGTGGTAAATTGATATTGTGGTCACACCAAATCCGCAGGGAAAGCATCTTTGTTTAAAATGCAGATTGATTGTGACATTATGTAACACCAGTCTACTCTTCCACAAGGCCCAATTAGATCACTGTGCACTTTCCCTTAGTGTCCCCCTGCAGGAGCTGGACCATAGAAGAGTTCCTTTTCAGCCTTTGTGGACTAAATCACAGTTTGAGTAGAGCGCTGACTACTCTTCCTGAAAGTTGGTGCTCATAAGGTCGCTTTACATCCTCATATTGTGGAGAAATTAGACAGTGAGTGTGTGGAGATACGGATGAGCACAAATGAGCCGTTTCCTTGGCAACTACGCAGCCATGCTAGCGGTAAGGACACATGTGGGCTCACAAACTTCACTCATTCCCAGCTGCACACTCAAAGCTACGTCTGTCCCCTTCCTGCAAGTGACGAGAGCTGAGCGAGTGAACAAGACACCAGCACCAGCCCATCTGGGTCAGGATTTAGGCTTCGGTATGGATATATTCAATAAAAGTCAGTGCTTTATCTTAAGTCACTGTGAGTAAACATGAACTGCAAATCTAGTATGCCTTGGGCTAAGAAAAACCATCCATATATACAGGTACACCACACCAAAGCTCTAATAGTGTTAATATGGCTGATAAGAGAACAAAGCAATAATAGT